GGCCTCTAGTCTATAATAATAAAAGCGTGGAGATAGTAGGTGTGTCTTTAATGTGGCAGTCTTCAAGCAAAGACGCATAGACTATCAATGTATTTAAAACTCATAGGTAAACTTATTGTAATATTCTAATGAGAGAGGATGCAAACCACCTAGTCAACTGTCATTCGAATCTGTTCAAATAACTACAACAGAATGATGAAATCATGTCTGGATTTTGGATCTGAACTCCAAAGTTGTCTATGGTTAATTTCCACAAAAATATTAGCATATTTCTTGTATAAGACATCCCACACTTTTCCAACCCAAAATTAAGAAATCAATATCTATATATATAAAAGGCTAATATGCTAAGTGTCCTTCCCACTGTCCGACCGGTCACTATGACGTGCACTAACCGCCAGGGGGCAGACACTCAATGCAGGATCTGCAGTGATGTACACAGAGAAACGGCACCGCAGACCTGGTGCCCACAAAGCAATGCTCGGCTTCCCCCAAGTGGGACACAGACCCCACCACCACCCTGGAGCAACAGCCCACCAAATCGCAGCCTATACTGCCATGGCTCAAAATGTGGCCCACAGCCCAGCCCAGCCCAGCCCAGAAACGGTGGCTGTGGGCACTGGGTAATGGCATCACGTTTTTGTTGACATTCTGAAGCCAAAATTGTCAACAGAATATGTCTGAAGACCAACTGTTGCCACAACATACCTCTGAAGCCAAAAGAAAGTGATGTGGTCAACAGAATATGTCTGAAGAACAGTCATCGACAAGTACTATCAACTGCCTTCATAGTTAAAAAAATAAAATTAAGAAGCATAATATGCTGATTAGACTGGACAGCTGAACTACCTTCCAGATGAAGCCGAGGCTGTGAGGGCCAATCCCCTTGCACAGATTTCATGCACTGGGCCTCTAGTATGATTATACTATACAAATCCTTTCTTAAAAATTAACAAACTGCTATATTTTCTGCAGAAGAAAGGATTGTTAATAACCACTGTGCATTGAAAGCAGAATAGATGGTTTTTTACTATATATTTCATCCTTACCTGAGGATATTTTTTAAAAGATAGAAAAAATATTTATATAATATTTAACATATACATTTATAAGTTTTTTTATTGTTTTATATTTCCTTACCTAGATTATACCATCTTATTGAAAGGCACTGATATACTTGAAGGGTCTTAGGTATCTTTTACATATGTTTATTAGAAATAATAAGTAAAATAATGTCTATAAGACTTAGTTTTTAATAGAGATTTCTTTTAAATTCATTTATTTATGTAGTCTGAGTTGATTTTTTTGATTGCAGATAAAGTCAGAGCCACTGTCTGAGCAAAGTTTCACATGTTAAAGTCTTCTCAGAGAAACATAGATTTTTATAGTAGGGTTTCTGTGGAAATCAGGTGGTTTCCTTCTACAAGTCAAAGCTCTTAAGCTTGGGATTCCTGGTCCATGTAAAAATTGTTTCATGAGCCAAATTATAGGCTTTCCCAATAAGGTCTTGAAGCTTAGCAGCTGGCTTCCCATTGGTTTTCTCACCTAAGTCCTGTGAGGGATTTAGATAGAGGCTAAGGTACTGTTGATATGCATTTGCCAAATGCAAATATTCTTGTTTTCACTTTTTAAAAATGTTCTTATTGATTTCAGAGAGAGGAAGGGAGAGTGGGAGAGAGGGATAGAAACATCAGTAATGAGAGATAATTGTTGATCGGTTGCCTCCTGACTGGGCATGGAGGCGACAACTTGGGCATGTACCCTGACCAGGAATCAAACCATGACCTCCTGGTTCATAGATTGATGCTCAACCACTGAGCCACACTGGCAGGACTTCTTGTTTTCATTTTTAATGTATTTCATTCAATATCTATTTAGATAAAAAATTTCCATAATGTATGCCTTCATAAAAGAAAATCCATGAAATATGGAGTTTTATGGAGTTGATGTCCCGATGGAGGCATTGCAGGTCTGCATGAGAACATGACAGCTTACAATCAGATATGTTCCTCTGGGTTGGAGGGTGGACAGATCTGTGGGCCCAGTGCATCAGAAGTCAGGAAGAGTCAGAGGTCTGAGTAATGTCAGGAGCGAGCAATACAATTTCTTTCATCTTCTTTTACCAATACCCTCTCATTTTTAACCCTCTGCCAAATGATACGTTTAACATTGTTGGAAAGCCATCTTAGCAAATACCAGATGCCATAATAATGATGATAATAGACATTTCTTCAGGGTTGACTCTGTGACATGTACTTTACAAGTGCTATCTTAGTTCTGACACAATCCTATAATATAAGTAGTGTTATTTTTATTTTTTAAATGAGGAATCTGCTGGCCTCAAAGCCAGGCCTGCCTGACTCCAGAATTCATGTTCTTTATCTTTAAATCACTCACCTGGTTCTTGTAACTCACTGCTATGACATAGGCACAAATCAAGACTGGGTCAACCCATAACAGCATGGTGATTATCAGAGAGAAAGGAGGGTGGAAGAGGTAGGAGAGGGTTTAGGGGGGATAAATAATGGTGGAAGGAGACTTGACTTGGGGTGGTGAACACACAATACATATACAGATGAATATATTCTAGAATTGTACACCTGAAACCTATATAATTGTATTAACCAATGTCATCCCAATCTATAGTAATAAAAGTGTAATATGCTAATTAGACCAAACAGCCAAACAACCTTCCGGACGTCCTTCTGGATGTCCTTCCGGACAAAGCTGCGGTGGCAGAGGCCTAGGCAGAGGCTGTTAGGGGTGATCAGACAGGCAGTGGAGCAGTTAGGGGGCAATCAGGCCATCAGGGGAGCAGTTAGGGGCGATCAGGTCAGCAGGCAGAGGCAGTTAGGGGTGATCAGGCAGGTAGGCAGAGGTGGTTAGGGGCAATCAGGCAGGCAGGCAGGAGAGCGGTTAGGAGCCAGCGGTCCTGGATTTCGAGAATAATGTCCGACTGACTCCAGAATTCATGTTCTTTATCTTTAAAGTCACTCACCTGGTTCTTATAACTCACTGCTATGACATAGGCACAAATCAAGACTGGGTCAACCTGTAACAGCATGGTGATTACCAGAGAGACATCCCCCTAGGGGTCCCAGATTAGAGAGGGAGCAGGCTGGGCTGAGGGACCACTCCCTTCGTGCACAAATTTTGTGCATCAGTCCTCTAGTAAATTCAATAAAAAACGATTTGAAAAATATTGGGTACTTGAAATTTCTACTAGAAGGCCAAACAATTAATGCTATATTTTGTTTGATGTGTAGATGAGGGGAGTGTGTCAATGTTTTAGATCTTAAATAGTATAAATCCTTATAAAAATTTACAATAAATAATACAAGAAGAATAAAATCTTTATTGAGGAAGATGATCACCATCTAGAAGTCATGTGCTTGTTTTCTAATTCTGAAGACAATTGTACGACTTACTTTTCTCACACTTTAATATTTTCATCAAAGATCATGAACATGAGAAAGGAGATGTAATTTTGCTCTCATTTGTTCCTATGCAATTGGCTGCTTCCAATTATTTATATCTTTCAGAAAACTTAATCACTATTACTTATGCATTAAGATGCAACTTTATGTTTTTTAAAATAAAGAAATACTCTATCTTCTAGATTGTATTTTTGGATATTTATATATAGGATACATTAAAAAAACACACAAAACCTTACCAGCTCTACTTTTAGGTAAAAATACAAGCATATGAGTGTGCAAAGATATGTATATAAGGGTGTCTTACAACTTTAGTTGTAATGGAAACATATTTAAACAAATTAAACATCCTTTAACTAGGGGATTGATATTATGTATAATAGAAAATCAAAGATAATGAGATAAAAGTATGGGAAAATATATGGGATATGGTTTTAGAAGTTTTATTAAAATTATATATAAAATTTTAGCCAGCTTTAGCTTAAAATCCTAGTGTGGGTGTGTGTGTGTGTGTGTGTGTGTGTGTGTGTAACATGGTGTTATAAGTAAAGTGTAAAGTTCTAGAAAAAACTTCTAGGACTATCCATGCCAAATTATTCCAAAGTGGGTGGGGTTGCAAGTTGTGGGGAGACTTTCACTTCTGATTCATTTTATTTTTGTAAAAACTACCTTTGGTTTTGTTAGATATAAAAGAGTGCTTTTTTACAGTCTGCTTGGCATTCAGTGCTTATGATTTAAGCTACAACTTACCTTTCCAGTCTAATTTGTCCTATTTTCAGAATACTGTTTTAATTAAAACTGAAAAGTCTGAAACAGTTTTATCCTTTCTGTTAAGATACCTTACATAAGTAGGGGCCCCATTACATTTGAAACATTTTATTTTTGTGAAACTTCTGGCCAGTTCCAACTTTTTCTTCTATCATAATCTGTTACTGGAGTCATCTTACTGTGTCAAATTGCCAGCGCCCTCAATTCTATATTGTAATTTCTATGTAATAATTGCATTTGCTTCCTCTCTTCTCTTATACAAACACATTTCAAGAGGCTGAAATGGGTGATAACAGTCTGAATAAAATATCTTAGGGATTTGCAATTAATTCCTAAAATGATGCCAAAAAATTGTCACATATAGTATCACATGTTACAAATGTAAATAAAGTCTTCTCAGAGAAACACATTTTTATAGTAGGGTTTCTGTAGAAATCGGTCCAGGTGGCTTCCTTCTACAAGGCTAGACAGATTATTTACCATCTGATAGAACCAGGGGCAAGAGAGTGAAATCCCAAACTGATTTGCAAGCAGGAGTCATCTGGGGAGTTTTGCTGTGTCACAAGTGACTAGCCCCTGGTTTTGAAAGAGTGAATCATCTCCCTGTGAAACAAGAGATAAGTGGAGGAAAGAGCTGTTTAAAATTTTTTACAACTATTTCCTTTTGAGCTATGACTTCGTGAACTGGAATGTGATTCAGAATAGCTTCCCTTTGAATCCAGCATTTGTCTTCAGAGTTTTTATTAGCTCCTTTCCCTCAGCCCATCTCACTTCTTCCCTCCCTCTGTTCAACAGATTTACACGGACTGGGCCAACCACTACCTGGCAAAATCGGGCCACAAGCGGCTGATCAAGGATTTGCAACAAGACATTGCAGATGGAGTGCTGCTAGCCGAGATCATCCAGATCATAGGTAAGCCCTGCCCTGTGAGAGAAAACCTCACTGGCTCTGCTCCCACGCCTTTTGGTAAAACACAGTTTCAGTCAAATGCATGCAAACGTGGTCCATGTGTCTGGGATTAGTGTAGCTCTCCTCTCCCATGATTTAAATTGAAATGTTTTTGTGGCAATGTTGGAAAAAGGCAGTGTGGCCACACTTTTAAATGGTTAGAACTGTATCATACATACACTGAATTGTCAGAAATGAATGCTTCATTAAACCATATGTCTCCCATGTGTGCATTTCATTAGCTGGAGCAACTTACGCACTCGGAGATTCCTTGAAACTGTATCCTGACCCAGCGGGGACAATTGTGAAAGGTTTCATGTCAGCAGTCATTTGGCATGGACTAAAGAATTAGCAGCAACTTCCTTCTCACTCCCCCCCCTTTTTTTGCCTTGTGCATATGGAATTGTCGGCTGCTAACAAGTGTGTCCTCTTGTACTTTGCTTGGGAGATAGAGTGAATGTAGCAGCAGCATTTTGCTTGGTGTTTTGTTTTTTGTTTTAGTGTTGTTGTTTTTGTTTTGTTTTTTAGCCTTTTGTGTTTTCTTTTTTTTCTCTCTTTTATTTTATTTCTTTACTTTAGCAAATGAAAAAGTTGAAGATATCAATGGATGTCCTAGGAGTCAATCTCAGATGGTAAGATTCACATTGAATCTAAAATAGTGCTTATCTTCACTTCCAGGTTTAACTGCATTTGTAAATGGACTAGGAAATTATTTTGCCTGTCTTCCTTCTTGTTTAAGAAACCATTTGAAACATTCTATGATATGTATTTGGCTGGGGGAGAGGGGGTTGCTGTTTATGAACAAGTGACAGCATTAGTACAATTGAATGTGTGTGACTCCTGAGTAGCATATCCCCAGATGTTTTAACACATCCTGACATCTCTTTTGTTCATGTCTGAATAATTTGACACTGGTCTTGGTGGTAATAAAACCCATTTCCAATTTGAAGTGGAGCCCTTTTGTCTGGACAACTGGCTTGAAGAACAGAACGTGCCATGTGCACTTTTAAAATATATGAATAGTATTTTCTTTGTTCATAACAAAGTCCAATGTAAACACATGGATTCTTCAACGCTTTTGGAAATAGCTCGAAAGGCACGCTCTGGAAGTGTGCTGAGCAGTGACTAATTGGGACATATGATTCATGGCCTTTTCCAGAAAGTCATTGATCTGAGGTTTGCCTTTCCCTCAGTCTTCTCTTATCTTTACCGACTGGTAAACCTTCAAGGTTTATACCAAAATAATGGGTTAATAAATTGCTGAAATAAAAACTTACCCCTTTCTTAATGAAATAGCCACAACTTAATGTTATAGGACAGCCTGAAATGCAAAATGCCTTACCTGAACTTTCATCAGAGATAAAATCAAGAAGGGCAGCCAAAATCCATAGCGTGAGGTTTCTTCCAAAACTCTTTTTAGCACAGAAGAGACATTTTATATAAACTTTATGAGTTTTCAATTGTCAGAGACTGGAAAATGAAAAAAAAAACACAACTGAACTTTTTTGACCTGCTGACCTGCTTTATTTAATGTGAGAAAACTAATATCCAAAATAATAAAAGGAATTTCTTTTTAAGGTGATTAACTAGCACATCAATTGCGCCTGTGTGTGTGTGTGTGTGTGTATGTGTGTGTGTGTGTGTGTGTGTTTAATGAGCACTCCAAGGACCTGTTACAATGTTGTAAACTCTGTGTAGCTGCTGTGGAAAAAAAAATCACTGTTAAGAAAAACTGTAAAGTACATAAATTTTAAGGAAATTTCCTAATTTAATTACTCTGAGCACTAACATGACTATGGAAATTAATTATAGTTGTTTTCTGAAGTTTTACTTAAAGCATTTGCAATCCCTTTGTACCCTGCTACAATTACAGCTGTGTGCTATTGAGAAAGACATGTAACCTTTTTGAGCCTTAGCTTTCTCATCTATAAAAATAATTTCCGCCCTAACCGGTTTGGCTCAGTGGATAGAGCGTTGGCCTGCGGAAAGGGTCCCGGGTTCGATTCCAATCAAGGGCATGTACCTTGGTTGTGGGCACATCCCCAGTAGGAGGTGTGCAGGAGGCAGCTGATCGATGTTTCTCTCTCATCAATGTTTCTAACTCTCTATCCCTCTCCCTTCCTCTCTGTAAAAAATCAATAAAATATATTTAAAAAATAAATAAAAATAATTTCCAATTAGGATATGATAATGACATATAATTATGAACATTTTTACTACCTAAACTGATATGGAAATGAACAATAGTATTGCTACTAACTTTATAAGGAGCACATTTCTGAATTACCACCTGTGAAAAGATTTTTAGGGCTTTCATATTATAAATCCCTATAGTCCCAGAATATCATATATTATATTTCTTAAGGCCAATGATGTTGGTTTTGCTTTCATCATTTTAACCATAAGGGGGTGTTGGATACTAAAACTCTTACCTTCTCTGCTCTCATTCCAATTTGATTCTAACAACCCCATGAACAAACAAGCTATTACTTTATGACAGGAGGAAAAAGCCTCCAAAGCTTATAACTGGATAGAGATGCAGTCCGTAGATATTATTCTTGAAACATCTGTACCAAAGAGTCTACAAACCTATAAAAATACCCTCATGAGTTTCAGTAACTTTTTATTACTTCCTGCTCCTTATTAGCCCCCAAATGTCATGTAATATCTCATGTGCATGTCATATTGAAATTTCTGCTTCTGATTAAAAACAAATTTAAAGGAACAGAAAAATCAAAGCCTAAGAAACGTAAATGCTATGAAAAGGTAGTTTTCCAGGCAAAAAGTATTAGTCAGAATCACATTGGATTGTGAGTAAGAATGACTTGGATTCTATTTTTTTCTGATGTGGTTGGACTTTGAATAAAATTGGCATGTCCTCAATAGGTTGATTCAGAAGAATACACATGATTTAAATGTAAAGTTTTTGCCCCTGTTCTTAATTGGCATTGGCACTATGCTATTAATGAATTAAAAATCCAGACTTTAACAGAAACAAGAAAGTAGAGGAAAGAGAATTATGAAAGCATGGCTCGACTTACAAATTTCATTTACCTATTCCAAACAGGATGTTTCTTCTTTATCATATAACAGCCCAGAGGCACTGTGTCAGGAACAGGGGAGTGCTGTTCCCACTCACAGAACTACTTTGACCACATCTTTTTATATATCTTAGCTTTTGTGGCCTTGAGTGCTGTTTGTGTTTAACACAGGTAAGGTAAAATTAGGTCTGCTACTATTTCTGGCCACAAGTTGTCTTTATTTAAATTATAGACTTGATAACTTTTATTGGATTATTTTAAGCCTTTGAGAAGATAAGTTCACTGGTGGTATGAATCTACAATATATGGATGGATTCCTGTAACAGCCAGGCAGCTCATATTGAGCTAATATATTAACTGAGCACCCAAGGTGCCAGGTATAGGGACACTTGAGGATCACAGGAGCAAATACTTAAATAATAGCAACAGTGTTGCATAGACAAGAACAAAAGGACCGTGAAGGAATGAGCTTGGTGTGTTCCGGAGACAGGTAGAAGACCACTGTGGTTTGAGCACAGTGAGAGGCATGTTATTCGTCGGTTCTGAAGCCTTTGAAAGACTTAAAGTTGGGCTATGACATGATCTGATGTGAATATTAAAGAGGTAACCCGAGATGCTTTCCAGGAACTGTAGAATACGTGTTGCTCTCACATTGTATGTGAGAGATGAAGAATATAGGGAGTATAAAATGGTCCCTGATTTCTAGGCCTGAGTGAGTAAGAGGTTGCCATTAAATGAGATGATTAATATAGAGAGGGAAAACAAATTCAGATTTTGATGAGTAGAGTTTAATGTATCCTTTGGAATATCAAGCAGGCGGTGACTTTAGGCTATCAATCATGTGTTTCTGAAGGACAGACGTAAGAATAAACCAAGTGCATAAGTAATGGTTGAAGCTGTGGGCAAGTATGAGATCTCGCAGGTCTGTGTAAAGTCAGAAAAGGGAAAGAGTGATGAGAGAGTGAGCCCACTATTGAGAGGAAGGGGATCAACAGATGTGGATTGTTAATCCTTAGGTAGCTATGGTAGCTTAAGCTCTAGTACTCGGACTGAGTGAGACAGGGCAAAGCAATGTAAGCCTATGTAGCAGATGTTGCCAAATGCTACATTGCCAACTAGTTGGTGTACTGGAATGAGGAAGCTTGTTCTGGTCATTGGACAGGCATTAATGCCCTTCCTGCAAACATCTGTAGAGTGCTTGTGTGCTGAGGAGTAACTAAGGGGTGCAGATATCCATTGAGTCATGAATAATCTTTCTAAAAGTTTCCTGTTTAATAGAAGAATTAAAAAACACATACGGTTTGAGAGGAAGGAGGATGTGGAGGGGAGCAAGCAGAGGAGGAGGAAGCAGTAAGGAGAGAGAAGGAGGATCCAGGGGAAAAGGGAGACAAGTGATGACGCCAAATTCTGCAGCCAGTGGCAAAGGAGGAAATTTGAAGTCGGAGTGGAAGATTTAATGTCAGAAAAGAATGCATTTTGCTTCGTGCCATGGGCAAATGAGATATGATTGCATGAAGATGTGTGTATTTTACAGTGGATTACAGAAGAATTGAAGGAATTCAAATCAATATGATAGCAACTTCAAGTATTAGATAACACTAATGTGCTCTTTTCTGTGTGATTCTTTAATGGTCATGTTATATAAAAAAATTCAATTATAGTATCTAATAATAGATACAGAAAATGCAAAAGTGATTCCTCCAAGTAACATGGACCAAAGAGTACATATTTAAGAAAAGCATGAACTTGTCCTTTTAGCAGCTTATTAACACTATTGAGAGATTGTGATTCATATTTATTCAGTTTTAAAGCCGTGGCTACCTTTCCTTAATAAGCTCACGACTAAACTCATCCTGAAAAACAGAACTTAATTTGTAGGAGCTTATTCAACACTATGTTTAACCACATCCAAAGATGAAGTTACCAATATGGACAGCACCTGTTAAGTAATTTCTATGTGGGAGGTATCAGGATTTGGTGAGATTACATGAGGAAATAAGTTAGTAAACTATAAATACCAGGAATGTCCAGAATGCCCAGCAGATTAAAAATAGCATTAAAAAATGCCCAACATTCATTTGAAATGCACAGGCACAAGTGCAAGGTTCTTAGACAAAAATGTAAGACATGGAGGGGAAAATTATTTTGAAAACAAAAATTTATTTTTAAAATAGACCATTATATTTAAGGACTTTCACAAGTGCATGGGGGCGGGAATTAGGAAATTTGATTATGTTGAATGGTTGCACACCAATAATTCAATTATATGTCTGAGCTAAGGATCTGGCAAATGTGGTCACAGCTTGTCCTTCCTCTTTGCTACTTCCTCTCTTTACCTCACCCTAGTAACTCAATTGTTTTCAGCCACAACCTTCAACCTTGTTTACTATCACATTACGTTATTGAAAACTTGATGATATGAGAATTTTTGGAATTCTTCTCCTTCATATCCTTTTTTTATTCCTAAAAGATAGAAAATTAGGTTTCAGTCTTCCCTTAATTCTCTGATTCTATGAACCACAGGGTTGAGACTTTCAGAATAATTACCTATTGGATTTCACAGGCGTCTGCATTCCATTCCTGCTGTGTAC